CCTCGCCTAGACATGTTCGAGAGTGAGTGCTGAAACCCTAAACCCCCTTTAAAAAAATGGCTGACGCCCGACATAAACCCCAGACCCAAAGCCTGGGGGGCCCGAAACCCTGAGGGGTGAAGCCCGTAAGCCGAAGCCCGACCACCTAATGTTAGTTAGATCTAGTTCTGTTTAGGGTTTAGGGTTTAGGGTTTAGGGCCCGAACACCCAATGTTAGTTAGGTCTAGTTATGTTTAGGGTCTAGGGTTTAGGGCCCGAACACCTAATGTTAGTTTGATCTAGTTATCTTCTTCTGCAGAAGCTACATTAACAGTTAGAGAATACGACTTTCACTACAATTGCGGACCGTTAGGTGCACTATAATGCTCAGGACACTCAGCATACTTCTTGCTGCTGTGATGAATTGCAATTGGTGCGGAAGGGAGTACGGTTTTTCAACGACACGGCAAGAGAACCAGACATCTTTGCTACTACCAATAACTGCCGTTGCCAGCCTTGGCGGCCGCCGATGATGACATTACGGCTACGGTTTGTATGATGCTGCTGATGCCTGTAACCACCCATCACGACTATCAACCTAATGCTGTCAGTACACTTGCTGCTGTTATTGCGGTTGGCAGTGTTCGTGTTTCACGAGTGACTTTCGACTTATACTGCCTTCATACCGGTCTACAGACTCATGAAAGTGAACGAAGCTTTTGTCATGCTGTTACCAGGCTGTTCTGGCATCTGTTCATGGTGTCACAAGTCCTCTGCGTGATTGCAATTTCCGTGGAGTGTGACTTTCAATCTCATCTTACTAGACTAACCCTCCATTTTCTTGCCACCAGATGAGATCTGGTCGTGCAAGCATGTTATCCTAGGGAGCCATACATTCGTGCATTGCCATATCTCATGATGTCTATAACCCTGGACATAATCGGACATTCAGGTGGGCAGTCCTTCCCCGGCGTCCTGGCCGCGTGCAAGGCAGCGGCTGAAGCGGGCGTGGGGCTTGGACTGGCGAGTGGCGGGGGTAGTTTTTGGCGCATTGCGGGGTTTGTGGCTTGTCGGATCGTTATACTAGGGAGTCCAGCTTGGCTTCCCAAGCCCGTACTGAAGAAAGGCTTGGGATTAGTAAGACTTGTTATTAAGTAGCTATCCAGGCGCCTACATTACACTGCAAACGCAGGGGATTGGGGTTCGGCTCAATGTTTCCGGATGCGACTTTGACGGGGATTTTATGTCCAGGCACTGATTAGGTCGCGAGACGATGGAGCCCTGCCTGCGCAAACTAAGGACAGAGGAGGTTTGGTCGCGGACCCAGCCGCCTGCCATGCGAACGGCTGATGCAGGACAGTAAAGGCTCAAACGCATCAAACTCTCGGGTAGCCAGCTTCATGAGACCTGTCATTGAAGCTGTCTCCCCTGCTCTGGTTCGGTTTTTTCTTGTGGAATTGTGCCGGTCGTCGTAGCCAACGCAGGCTCAACAGATTCACCATGGAAAGCGAGACTTGCTTGTTCCTTTCGGAATGGGAAGCTGTGCGATGCAAGGCCCACGCAGTGCGGCGGAAATGGGCGGAAGATGAACTCTGCCGTCAGCAGCTGCAGATTCAATGCGGGAGCACTTCCTTACAGTCTTGGCTTTCGGTCATGGAGACCCAGAAGAAGGTTCTTGAAGGAGCCGCAGCTGCAACTGCTCAGGCTTTGACTGAGGTGGAGAGTCATTGGAGGCCTGTGCGATTGGAGGCCACGGACGGTGGGCCTGCTTCTTGGCTCCTAAGTGCCGAGCAGGCGAAGGTGGCGAGCTTCAAAGCTCGAGCCGCCCAGTGGGCGGCTCCGGCGGGAGGCTCCGACTTGAGGAAGCGTCAGCAGGCGCTCTCGGAGCATGTGCAGGGTCAGGTGGTCAGCGCTGTCCGAGGCTGGGATCAGGCGCATGCCGCGGCAGAAGCTGCGTGGCTCAGCCATCACCAGCGCGTGGAAGAGACCACCCGGGCGATCGCGCAGGACAAGGCCCCCCCCGATTCCTGGCTCAGTGAAGTGCGCTACCGTGAGCAAGCACGGAAGCATCTGTCCGAGCAAGCGGCCACCGAAGAGCTACTCTTGGGCGCTGCTGCGAAGCTGCATGACCTGGAAGCCGAGCGCGTGGCCTCCCTGCATCAGGGGGGATGTGATGTGGACCGGGTCTGTTGACTTGCCGCATGCATGTGTATCACTGGAGAGTGGGGCCGTTCTGTAGTTTCAGTACGGGTCATTTGTCGTTCAAGATTGAGTCGTGCACAATCACACGCCAGCCCATGTTGTTTTCACAATATGCGGAGATGCCATACCCCTGAAAGCTGTCAGCTCTTCTCCAAAGCCGATGCTAACCTTTGGTTTTCGTCTGACAACGAAGCATTCCGAGCACCCAAGCCCGAAGCCGCGTTGGGCCGGTCATCCTTCGTCGAAACCCCCAAGGCTTAATTTGGTTTCTTTCAACCAAAGTAGCCATGAGCTATGACAACCACAATAAGAAAGTTATGGTAATGTTGAGCCTGTTCTTGTTATGCTTATCAACAACGAAGGCCCTCTACTGGCAAGCATTTGTGGAGGCCTATAGGGCGTGCTCAGCCGCCGATGTACCTTCCCCCGGAGAAGAGCACATGATGCCTTCACCAGCCAAGCCACCGGAAGTGCAGCTGCCCGAAGTACCCGACATTCCCAGTGCTGGAGGGGCTGTGCTGCAGCGCGTGCCCGCTGCAATGGTGGCTCCCGGTGGCCTCTTCGGCCTGGGAGGTGGTGGCTGGCGCGAAGGCGCCACGCTGGTGCTAACGATCCATGGCTATCTGCATCTCTTCTACACGGACCCCAAGGTGGCGACAGGGAAGCCCGAGGATGCTGGTCCAGAGTTGGTGGAATCTGACATCCAAGCCTCGGTGTACGCGCCCATGGCAACAAAGTGTGTCTTTCAGCGGCGCGGTAAGGAACTGATCTTGGAGCTGGCTGAGCCAGAAGCGACGCCGCCGGAGGGTTCGCCGAGCAACTCGCTGATGCACAGTAGCGTACAGGGGGCTCCACGTCGATTATAGCACGCAGTCATCTGGATGCGCTTCCCAAAACATAGGTCACAAGTGTGCAAAGCCCAGAAGCCCGAAAACCTCGAAGAGATCAGGCAGTGAGAAGCCTTCGGCGGCTGCGAGCTTAAGAAAATGGTGGTCTGGCAAGGCTCAAGAGCCGGTACCTCGGCGCATCATGGCTCGCCTCTCTTGCCCGGACGAGCCCCTGGGCTTTTCAGTAGTCGCGGATCTTTTTACAGGGGGCCTCCATGAAGGGTCCCCTACTCTTGGAGATTGCTATAGCGGTGTCCTGGAATAGCCATGATATATGAGATGAATCCGGCAGAGAAGTTTGAAATCATATGAATCAGCCGCCTACATTGTGCGCCCAAAGCCCTTCAGGTTCAAAGAACTGGAGGGACGCTGCCACGAGTTCGTACGCAAGGGGCACGCGCTGCGTGCTGCGACCCCACCGCGGGTGGCAGGTGCATCTCCCACGGCAGGATACGCAGAAGCTGCAGGTTCTTCGTAAGGACTGGGGCCAAGGTTGCAGTGGTTCAATCATTCGAAGATATCTGTGTTCGTGCCTAGATGTAGAGTTGGGTTCGTGGTCCGGCCCCAGGAATTCTTGATTTCCACTTGAGGCGAAGCGTAATGTGCCACAGCCGGTTGTTGAACGCTGCCGAGCCGTCCCTCTAGTAGCTGAAAGTAGTTGCTACTGTGCAGTGGGCTTACCTCGGCTGCGTTTCACCCTTACCGGGACCACCTGCTCGCATGCAAGAAACCTTGGTCTGACCCAGTTGCTACGGGAGGTTTCAAGCCAAACACTGGGGACTTGCTATTCCACAGGCTCGGCTTGGTATTTTTCTTTAAATCCCCTAGAAGCCCACCACCTGCTGAAGCAGGCATGTTTTTATGCTTCATTCAGGCTTTTGGGTTCAGCGTCGAGGACTCACAGGCACTGGAAGCCATCGCTAAAAAGGCCCCGTTGAGGAATGTCTTGAAAATGAAGAACAACCCACAGGATTTCATGGCTAGACGCCTTTTCTCTGGTGATCAGGTGGCATTGCTCCGGGATGTCTCCATGAGTATGGCTGGGGTGTCTCGGCCGGGTCCAAGAGTCCACTGTTTTGCAGATTTACGGTTCAGAGGTCTCCGCATCCTACTCAGTTAATGGGAGCATCCGAAGCTTTAGCAGTAAGGTTATGTTGTAAGTACCCTGCTTGGGGTTATATGCAAGCTTAAACAACATGTGCCTTACTTGTAATGGCCCCGCTTGCTGTGTCCCCTCACACAGACCTTAAGCCCCAATGCCGGTAGTTGGTGTTAGGATAGGGTTTAGGGTTTAGGGTATGCAAAAAAGAGTTTAGGGTTGTCAACCTTTGAAGGGAAGAGGAGTGAAAGACTGTCGCGAGCAACTCTTGTCTAAGCGCGCGTGGGTTAGCTTCGGTGCTCACCGGTTTTGACGTTACCGCTGCCGGCTACTCCACTGGAAACCCGAGCTGCTCTGAATGAGTCTCGAACCTTGACTTGTCGATGCCAGTCGGCTCTTTCCTGTTTGCCATGCCTAATCTGGGTTCTTGTTAAGGGATTTAATTGAAGTTACCATAATTAATAAGGAAACCATATTGTTCACTATAGATCCCTATTATGGTAACTTAAATTAAATCCCTTAACAAGAACCCAGTAATCCCGAGCTAGCTGGTTTCCTCCGACGCGTCCCGATCACTCTGCTTGTCACACAGCAGAGCACGCGCTTAAGCCACAGGCTTGCCATCCGGCTAAAAAAAACAGGTCTGGATAGTTGATAAGTATATTCTAGTATTCCTTCGGGTTCCCCCCAAACCCTAAACCCTAAACCCTAAACCCTAAACCCTAAACCTTGAACCCTGAACCCTGAACCCTAAACCCTAAGTCTAGTCACTAGGCCCCTTGTATTCTACCGAAGTTTCAGTGTTTCATGGAGAGCTTCGTCCGGCTGAGCTCGAGTGTGAGAGCCTCCATCTCCCCAGAGAAGCCCCGATGCACATCCTAGGTTCCCCAGTTGTACCCTTTTGTCCTTTTTCTTGTTGGGTTCCCTTAGCAAAGCCAACTAGTAGGAAAAAGGGTACCCTTATTATTTAGGGGCTACTGGAGAACCAAGCATCCCCAGACCCTAAAGTCGAAAGCCCTTACTCAAGGGGCCTTAAATAAGTAGAATAGGGTTTGGAGTATATTATACTATAAGTATAATAAGGAACCCCCAAAACCCTATTCTAGTTGAACCCCCAAAACCCGATTCTAGTTATTAAGGCCCCTACATTTGACTTAAATCCCAAACCGCAGACTCTGATCTTTTGGGTTTCTAGTCGACTGACCCTAGGCCCTAGACCCGGGCCTTCAGGTCAATGCGACTTGGAGCTCTCGTGTCGCTTTGGGCCTCATGGAGGCTCCTGAGGGGTTCCCTGGGACAGTTTGGGTTTAGGGTTTAGGGTTTAGGGTTTAGACCCTCTCAGGGTCCCTAGGCTTCGGGCTTATCGGCCGCGGGGTTTGGGCATGGGATTCTGTAGGGTTGGGTGCAGGGTGTAGAAGCACCATAAGTGTAAGAAGTGACAGTTTTGGGTAAGCTCTAGACCCCAAACCCAGGACCCGAAACTGTAGCTGTCTAGCCTGGAGAGTTCCCTGATGCTGCGAGCCCGATTCGACTGGACGAGGCCTGCCAGCAGAGGGAGATGTCGTTTGGCTACATCGAGTGCTCTCCTAAGCCGGCTTCATGCCATCAGTTGGAAGAATGACTTGCACGAGCAGTTGGGGTTTTGCCAAGTCAGAGACGCTCAGACCATTAACTAGAAGCATAGCGGCATAGCTGCGAGCTGACACACCCTCGAAATGAGCGTGAAAGAGCTGCAAAACCCATATCCGCTGGAGCTTTGGTCGTAACCCGGATGCTGAGATAGCCCGTGACGGTGAACACACCAGCGGACATTTGGTGTGGTGCTGTAACTCCCCGTCTGTGGTGGCTCTGGGTTGACCGTCAAGCGACCATGGTCAACAGAACAACTGGCCTGAGGACCCTGCGTGAGCATGACGAGGTTTGCTTGAAGGGTTGGATCGATGCTGATGTAAAGCTGATGCCTTCGGATGGATCTTGCTGAAGGCTTCGTCATGCTTTGCGCAGTGCCGTCAGAGCTGCAGGGCACTGCCGAACACTGGGGATGCGCGTACGTTTGAAGTCCGCCCTCAATCCCGTGTGAACGGGACAGCGGAGTGGCGGCGTATGCGACAGGTGGTGTGCAGATGTAAGCGAAACTGCCTACGTGGCTGCAAAGGAACACGCCGTCAAGATCCGCCAAGGGCATGATGCTGCCATGATGGGAGGTTGCTGGCATGGCACGGGAGGTCAGCTGTGAAAGCACTCGAAGTCCTGAAGAGTAGATGTAGAATGTCGGGAAGTAACTGAGCTTGGGCTGGACTCGCGATGAGACCCTGGAAGCTCTTTACGCCGCCACAAACCTCGCCTGACCTCGTCGAGCGCGAGTGTCAAAAAAGCATAGCATGGGAAGTGGTTGCAAATCTGCCAGGTTTAACCATTGCTCCAGCAAGTTCCGCGGTGTGGATGGCTCCTTTTTCAGCCACGACCCCAGACGGATGCTCAGAGCTCCCGCATCAGTTGTTGCAACTGTTTAAGCTTGTGGTTGGTAGTAATTCATGTTAATTGGCCTATTCGACTTTTTGCGCTCCTTCCTCCATGATGATCTTCATGGTTATATCAAGTATGTGTTCAGTTTGCGTCCTCTAACTCCAAACTATTATGGTTTCAGGTGCCACCTTGCTGGTGTCTCTCCGTAGTTCGGCACGATTTCCCCATGATTGTTTGCATCACCGTCATCATCACCACCCCACCACCTACGTCATCGCCATCATGATCATTATCATCCTCATCCTCCTCATCCTCATCCTCATCCTCATTATCATCGTCATCGAAATCATCATCATCGTCGTCGTTGCACCATCATCATCTTCATCGTCAATTCCATCACCATCGTTTTGTTGCCACAACAGCAGTCGTTTGTTCGTAGTCAAGTCCTGACACCGATGGTCGCAGCAATATGTAAACTGTTACAGAGGATGGTCGTGGCATTTTACTCACACTACTAGCACTGCGACCACGACTACGCCTACTACTGTTGGTGCTCCCGCTGCCCACTTCGGCTGCTACAGCTACCACCATGACTATGTCGGTTGCCGCCACCACCACCACCACCACCACCACCTTAGAACCGCCGAACCCGCTTCCTTGCACAAGCTTGAGCCCGAAGCTTCGCGAGCAAAGGGGCTTCATCCTTGCCTCGGCCAAGTTGGACTCCAGCAAGTTCGGACTGCGAAGGCCGGCGGAGCCTCGAGTCTTTGACAGAGGGGGTGAAGCGGAGAGAGGTCCTTCGGATTCTTCGGATTTCGGACCTTGGGCTGGGGCCAGAGATGGGCGCAGCTTACTTGCCCCGGTTCGCAGGAGGTGATTGCAGACCAAGGAGGGCAAGCCCTTGAAGCTCCTAGACTCAGACCTCTTACAGAAGCCACTACCCTCGCAAGCTCCCCAACGCCAGGTTCGGATTCACCATGAACGGCACCTTAGCCGTCCTGGGCTAAGCCCGAGATCTGAGGATTCTGTATGTGGCAATGACTAAACAGCAGAGAGGCAGCACAGAACTGCACAGCACGAGATAGCACGAGTATATCACAGACATACGTGTGTGCTTGTGCCTGTGTGATCTGGGGTCTCCGCAGGGTTTGTTGAGGGCTTGGAAAAATTATGGAAATATCGGGGAGGCAAGTTTTCTGTAAGGTGCTCCATCGCTGCCTGCAGCTGCCAGACGGCGGCGAACCCAGCTGTCTGCACGTTGGGGGAAGCCCGAGGAATCCGCATGCCTTGGAAGAAAGCCAGCCACTGTTGTAATGGACGTGATCGGAGTATTCATGTTCATTATCAGTAGGAGCTATGGCCAGCAAGTTCTTGCCAGACGGATGAAGCACCAGGAAAGCCCTGTGGATTCCGAGGCAGTCTTCATCGGTCTGTCTGGGAAAAGATCCACGCCTTGCGAAAGGCTCTGACGAACATTCCGCAACGTCTTGTTAAGTACGCCGAGAAGCGACGGTGCATTTCTCGTCGCAGGAGACTGGCAGTCACCCCGGTCATAGCCTTTTGACCGCATGCACTTGCTGACCTGCTGGCGTTCGAACATGGACTCACTCAAGTTTACCAAAGCCCCGTTACGGTTTCAGAGTGGTAGCAGATCTGAAGCCATGGCAAAGCGCTGCCGCGTGATCTTGAGCCTGGTGCTGCTCCTCGCCGCACTGAAAGCAGCCACAAACTTCTCGGTTCAGCGCCTCCCCAGGCCCTTCGAAGCTGAACTCTCCGTGGTCCTGAGGACAGATGCACAATCCTGCTTGTGCATCTTGCGCCCTCTCTGCCAGGCAGGCTCCCCACGAGCCCTTCAACGAGAAGCCCGGCGCGCCCTTCTCCTTCTTCGAGATGGAGCTGCCCGACTGGCTCATGCCCGCCCTTGGTGCTGATGCGAAGACAGGCCAGGGTCTTGGGGTGTTCAGGCATTGCGTGTGTGTGTGTGTGTGTGTGTGTGGCTTTTCTGCACATTGAAAACAACTGACATTACGCAGACTAATGGCCCTTGTGCCACATCTCAGATACCTGGGAGAACCGCAGCATCTTGGACTTCAGCTTGGACTATCACATCCTGGCCGGGGCTATCTTCGGCATGTCGCTCTTCTACGTGGGCCTCTTCGCCTGAGCTCTGCATGAAGAGCCCCTGGGCTCGCGCGTGCTTCTGAAGATTATTACGAATTTGGGGGGGTTCCTTGTTATGACTCTTGACCAGTGACTATCTAGTATAATATACCCCAAAACCCTATTCTAGTTATGAAGGCCCCTACATTGTTCAGCACCGTTCCAGTGACCCGTAACAGACTGCCACTTGGCGCGGGTCGGCAGTGCCTCCTTAGGGGCGCAAGGTTTTGGCACCTGCTGGAAGATGCAGCGAGACGCAGGTAAAGCAGGTTGCAGATTTCTTGTTTGCGCATCTTCAGCTCGGACAAAGCCGGGTTCTGATTTGAATAACCGCGGTTCCATCAACTCGTTCCAAGCTGCCGGCTGCCCTACAGCTGCAGCACAGACGCCGTCAGCCGAGGTGTCATACAAAGGCTGTCCCCGCTTGTAGAATTGCAGGTGTCGACGTTGATTTTGCACAGCATTCTAAGCCTGTGCGGCCAAAGTGCAGGCAGTCTAGAGTACCCTATTCTGTGCCCCAGCAAAACCGAGCCACCTAGAATCAACTTTCGGGCGCGGTTTCCGTGGAAAGTCTTCTGAGAGATACCTCCCTAAACCCTAAACCCTAAACCCTAAACCCTAAACCCTAAACCCTAAACCCTAAACCCTAAACCCTATAAACCCTAAACCTCACCAAGCAGGCCTCCAAGGTCCCAAGCACGAGAGCCCCGAACCCAAGAAGGTCCTGACATCTGGGAGTTTTCCGAAAATAAGGGGTGCCTTCTTTTGGGGTCCTTATAATAAGGGTCCTACTATTTTAGGGTACTAGATTAGGGTCCCCTTTTTGGGGTCCTTATAATAAGGGTCCTACTATTTTAGGGTACTAGATTATTTTGGGGTCCTTATAATAAGGGTCCTACTATTTTAGGGTACCAGATTATAATAAGGGTCCTACTATTTAGGGTACTAGATTAGGGTCCCCTATTTTCGGAAACCCCCCATCTAGTCATCGAGTCATCTGCACCCCTTGGATTTCGTAAGTCCTCCTCCTTTTCGGAGGCGCTTCGTTGGGAGCTGGAGGCCAACAGCCTGAGATTCCAAAGAGGGATTAAGATAGGGGCCTTATTTCATAATTAGAATAGGGTTCTGGGGCCTTAATTCATAATTAGAATAGGGTTTTGGGGCCTTAATTTCATAATTAGAATAGGGTTTTGGGGCCTTAATTAATAATTAGAGTAGGGTTTTGGGGCCCATTAAACTATAGTTACAATACATTATTGATATAGGGGCCTTAATTCATAATTAGAATAGGGTTTTTCGGGCCCATGATACTGTAGTTACAATACATTAAGGGGAGGGTTCATCAAGGTGTTTTCGCTCTTCGAGGTATGCAAAGGTCTTGATGGCCATGGGAAGATAGATGTCGGTATCATTGGTGACTCCCAACACTCCCGGGGGCTTGTCGGTGTCAGTCCAAGATTTGTCTTGTTTCTAGCAGTTGCCGGTGTTGTTTCTATATTGTCATGAAGAGGCATCCGGGCCCTCAGCCTAAACCCTAAACCCTAAACCCTAAACCCGAACTTCTTGGGCTTTGGGTTGGAGTTTTGCACCACCTGACTGCGAGGAACCTGCAGGCTCAGGACTTCTCGAGCTCGTTACTAGTGCTGTGTTCAGAGCACCGCAATCTTTCGAAGGATCGTTGTGCTAGTGACTGTGATGACGAACCAAAACGGCTACTCGTACTATTGCTGGAATGATTGCAGTTCTGCTGATGGCTACTAATTTGGGATCCCCGCCACGACGTTTGACCGGTTTCTTGTATTTACGGTTTCATTCGTCATTGTTGGCAGTTTGGTTTTGTGTCACTTCGGCAATGTTGAGTGCTGCATGAGTGCAGTTTCTACGAATGAAAGCTTCCGTCGTTAACGATGGGCTGTTGTTGACTGTCATGTTCTCACTTGCTCTTTCTACTATGATTACGCCTTCCACCAGGAAGAGTTCTGACAGGTTTCCAAGACATACGAAGTTATCGGCAGGCTGGAGAACGAGATTCTGGTGAAGTGATGAGGATTGTCATGATGCTGACCGCGACGGTCGCGATGGTGAAGATTTGAAGATGCTACTGCCGGTGATGATTGTCGTGTGTTTCTTATCCATCGTCTGCAAATGACCTCAGCGGATCTTGCGACAGCAGGCAAACTGGGCGCAGTGGGAAGCCAGCGACTGAGAGCATGTCGTCCCAGTCCAAAGCTGAAAGCGCACAACTCTGAGCCAGTCAACGGTTCGCCACGGAAAGCTTGATACTTTCTTCTAGTAGCATGGGACTGGTGGCCCCTTTGCAGTCGTCTTGCATTGCCAGGGTGCGAAAGTCCTGTACGATTCGCCGGTATTCACTCTTGCCTGGGACCTGCATCAGGCCTTGCCAGGGAGGGGTGGTGAAGTCGTTGGGTTGTGAGGGCCATGGCTTGGGGCTAAGTACCGTGATTCAAGAGCTTCTTTGGGTTATGTAGATAGTACACTACATGTAGGTATGTCTGCATGCATGCATGATGTAACGTAAAGTAAAGTAAAGTAAAGTAA